AAGGATAAGTTCTAGGCCAGTCTGGGCTGAGTAGTGAGACTGTCTCCAAAACAAACGGCAAGAAAGCATGTTGTGGGAACTGTCATGGGCTCTTAACAGAATTACAGTGCTCATTCCTTTCTCAAGCTCTTTAGACATGTACTCTTACATGTATGCTTTACTTAGCTGAAGTCAGCATGCTTTTTCCATCATCTGTTGTTTTCACTTGACATCATTTCACATTCTGATTTCTGTCCCCACAGTGCACATCATTGTGTGCTTAATAACTGGGTAGCATTCCATTGTGCAATATAGCATACAAGTTCTTAGGGCTGGGCTTGCTTTCATGAGCAGATCCAAAAGCCTGCTGTCTCTTAGCACTAGAGGTTTATTTTAGTTCCCGGAAGTGGCAACTAGCATGAGCGTGGGATCCCGTGGGATTCTTGAGTCACCAGCACACAGCACAGTCTGCTTTGTTAACATTGCTCTGCCTACCACTCCACAGCAGAGCCTTCCCAGGCTTCCTGGACCTGAGTTGGACTCCTTCTGAGCGCAGAGGCAGTAGTATAAACCTGACCCAGACCTGATATTAACATAACAACGGCAGGAAATACCTGCTGCTTCCTCCCTAGCCTGGGATCACAGTGCCACTGGTGTCCCCCACAGAGTCTGAAGTGAGAGAAATGCCAAGAGGAGTGAGGGTAGGTTATTCCAGCCGAAGGAATAAGATAGAGGGTATGGATGCCGTGACCATAACTCTAGGTCCATTTGTGAAAATGGGATGGGCTGAAAGGATGATTCCAAGTCTCAAGAGGTTGAGTGATAGCTTTCAGTCTTCATACCTCTTTCTGGCAGAAATCCCCATATTTGGTCTTCTGATAAAGCTAAAGGACTTGTGGGGTTGGGTAGTAAAACAGCGAACCTGGGTTTGACTCCTAACCTAGATGTGGCCACTGCCATCTTCTGGACAAGAACAATAGTTGGTGTGCAGGATTTTCCTGAGAGAAAGTGATGTCTGTTACATCTCATTATCATGTCATTCCAGCAGCAAATGCCTGAAGAAGTGATTTGTTACTTTAGCCTAAATTATCACTGCTCTTTCCTTGTTTTTTTTTTTTTTCAGACAAGGGCTCATGTAGCTCAGGCTGATTATAAGCATACACTATCATTCCCAGTTTTGTGTGGTGCTGGGGATCAAGAATCACATGCATAATTTGTGGGGACGAGAGCAAAGGGATGTCCTTACATATCTATCCACAGTAAATTCTATAGTTCCAAAGCAAAGATCTGCCTCGGAAGAACTAATGGATAGGTACCCGAGCTATGTGGAGTTTGAATTGTGGGCCAAGGCTCTGTATTGCTTAAAGTATGTCTGTCACAATGTGACAGTTGATCATCATTGTTAACTTGACAGATTTAGAATCTCCATGGAAACTCCTGTGGATGTGTCTGTGAGGTTGTTTCCACAGAAAGAAGGGGCCCCAAATGTGTGCAGCAGCACCACAGTGGAGTGGGTGGTCCTGGGGAAGAGCTGTGAAAGTGAGCTGAACCCCAGCACTTCTTTCTGCTTCCTGACTCTGAATGCAGTGTCACCAGGTGCCACATGCTCTGTCGCCATAGCTAGAGCCACTTGAGATACTGCGCCTCTCTCTCCCTTCACAGTGGACTTTATTTACCCTCAAACTGCGGGTTGTTTTGCTCGGGTATTTTGTCACAGCAATGGGAAAAGTAGCAAGCACACTGGAGTCTAGGTTCGAAAAGTCCTAGAGGAAGGCCAAGATGTTGATAAATAAAGAGGAGCTCCAAGGCAACCATTTGCCTTGAACAAAATTTGCACTCTTGATTCAACAAAGTGCCCTTTTCTTTGTCCTTGGGCCTCCTCGCTGCTACACTCCTTTGGTGGAGTCAAGATTCTCAAAGAAGAGAATGTGGGAGGTAGTGATGGTGACTGCCTTGGCTTCTCTAAGCTAGCTCTTCATCCTTTAGATCTAAGATACCAGCCTGTAGGTTGTTCACTGTGAGAAAGGAGACACATTTTAAAGTAAAGACTTTAATTCTTAAAAGTGTAAGCTAATGGTCTAACCAAACTGTCCACTAACAAATACTAGCCAGAGTTTAATGAGCTACTTAAGATGTGCTGGGCACTATGTTAAACGTTTTATATGGATCAGTGGCTTCAAACTGGCTTGGGAGAAGGGTTATTGTTATTTCTCTTTTGGGGGCAGTTACTGTTATTTCTGATTTTACTGGAAGTTCCAAGTCATCTAGCTTGATTGGGGGGAGGAGTTGAGAAATGTCTTAACATTCTGTAGAAACAAAATTAAGCTCCACTCCAGTACATACGCATATACATACAATGCTACTCTTTAAAACTTTTGTGATTGATAGATTGCTTTTTAGAAGGCTGGTGTCAAAGGACCAGAATCAGCACAGGACACCCCAAGACCAAGTTCTCAGTACAAAGGAGATTCATTTGCCACAGAGGGTAGGGATAAGAGACAAAGACAGGAAACAGGACAAGGGAGTAAGGAAAAGGAACAAGAAGGGTGGGAGAGGGATATTTGCCCTGGAGGGACAAAGGACTGCCCCTGGATAGAGAGACAGACGTGGCCCACAAGCAAATGACAGTTTATAAAGGGAAAAGGGAAGGAACCCCTCTTAGGATGAGTTGGTTTGTTTTAATTGAGCATTTTAATTAGGGTATCCAAAGGGGGACTTTTGATTGCTGGACTTCAATCCTTTGATAGCTGGACCTTGGTGGTCAGCCTCAGGAGGACGTAGTGGCCAAATAAAGAAATAGACCTTGGTGGCTAGCTTTAGGAATGTTCTCTGTGGATTAGCAAGGAGGAAGGAAGGGAAAGGTCTGCCAGTCACGTTTGCCTTGTTTGGACCTGCTAGAATCCTTCACATTGAGATGACTCAGCAGGTAATTGTGTTTGCTGCTAACCGTGACAAGTTGAATTTAACCTCCAGAACCCATATAGTTAAAGGAGGGAACTGACGCCTGCCAGTTGTCCTATGGCTTCCACATGCATTGGTAGCAATGTTCCTTAAATAAGCAAAGAAATGTAAAAATAAACAAATAAAAAATAAATAAATAAAAGCAAGGTCTATTAAAAACTTGCTGAACAAAACCTGCATGAAATGGTATGAACCTGCAACCCCAGTATGAAAGAGGGTCATGAGATTAAGACCAGTGTACACACACACATGCACACCCAGCTTTAGCTTCTATTTAGAAAAAAAATTGTTTTCTCTCAGAAGCACATTCATTGCACAAAGAGAAGTGTGACAGTGTATGTAATTCAGGATTTTTTTCTTTTTTTGGAAAAGGTCTCTTATATCCCAGGATAACCTTGGACTTGCTCTATGGTGGGTCCACCTGTCTCTACCTCCTAAATTCTGGCATTATAGATGTATACTACCATGTCCCATTTGTGTGGCACTGGAAATAGAACCCAGGGTTCAATGTGCTAAGCAAGCACTCTACCTACTATGTTTCATTCCCAGTTGGAATTCAGCTTTGTTAGCATGTCTTTAACCTTAATTCTCTTCCTTGCTCATATTCATAGCTCTACTTACTATGCCTTTCTCTGTTGGTCAAGAAAATATTCCTGTCCAATAAACACATGCTGTGAAGAAAAATGTGTGTGGACGATCAATTCTTTTTTAAAAGCATGGTTTTATTGGCTGGACATGGTGACAAGTCTCAGTGGTCCTCCTGTCTGCCCCTTAAACTTTGGGGATTATAGCTGCATGCATGTTCACAGTCTAATTTTTTTTAACATAAGAGTGAAGAGTGTTTTTTTACTGCCATGTGCAAGGGTCGTTCACCTGTACAAAATGGCAACGACCCCAAAAAGAGCATGCAGGATTCTTTTTAAGCACATCTAGGAGAATTTTAGGGACAGTTAGTCATCTTAAACATTATTTGTTAAGTGAGCAGCAGTTATATTAGCATATTTTTATTTTGCTAAGGGTTTATCTTTGGAATACATTGGTAAGATTCAAGGGGGGTGTAGGAACTATCCTCTAGACATTGTGGGGCTGCACAGTCTAATTTTTTACACCGGTGCAGGAATCCAAACTTAGGTTCCCATGTTTGATCATCAAGTACTCTTATCTGATGAGTCGTCCTTATAGCTCCAGTGGACTTGGACTTGAATTTAAAAACTGGTTCTGATAGCCAGGTGGTGGTGGTGCACATCTTTGATGCCAGCACTTGGGAGGCAGAGGCAGCCTGGTCTACAGAGTGTGTCCCAGGATGGCCAGGACTACAGAGAAACCATGTCTTGAAAAACAACAAAACAAACAAGCTAACAAAAAAAAACCAAAACTGGTTCTGCTGTCTCCTAGTGGGTGCCTAGGGATAAATTAGCTAACCTCTCTGAACATCAGTTTCTGTCTCTGTGAGATAAAGATGAAAGGCAATAATATATATAAAGCAGTAAGCCCAGCATCTGACTAAGTGGGAATGCTCAATCAACTATACCTGCTATCACTGTTGGAGCACTTATTTATGGCCATTAATGAAATTTTCCTCACATAGGCATGGATACACTTCAGCATTATTTCCTGGCTATAGCTTTCTTTCTAGAGGGAGTTGGAGAAAGACGTGTGGATCTTTTTGGCCCAAGTTAGCTTTAGCTAGGCAGATTTGGATTCCATTCCTTGATCTGCTTTTTACAGTGTCCTTATTTGGGAAGTGATGCCAGGTATAATACCTGCCTAGGAAGGTTGCAAGTATGACAATAGATTGGAAGAACTTAGAAGTGTGCTGGATATACAGAAAGCACTCAATACATGGGGCCAATGATGAAGGCGATAACAACAATAACAGTAAGGGACCACTACCATCCCAAGCACATCACATTGTGAGTGCAGTGATACACACACGTCTAAAGAGGCAGCAGTTGCTGTTTTGAAAGGCTAGCAAAGCAATGAGGCTTCCCAGGCAATCGCTATGTATTGAAAACAGACCTGTTTTGGGAGGTATGACAAAAAAACCCAAAACAGTTGAGTAGAGCATCATCCTTATTTATTTTGCCAGTCCCTTTATACCTGAGAACCTTCCAGAGAAATGTGTGATTTTTAAAGTAACCCTGTTCTTCTAAGGCTCAGTTTCAGTTGTTCCCAACGTGTTGTCTGTAAGCTGTGTCAGGAGCATCATAGTACATGTGGGAAGTCTCTGTTCTTCTTTGGTGAGGTGGACAACACCTAACTTCCTACTGGGTACCGCGCTGGTGTGGAGAAACAATGGTTCTCAGGGATGTGATGTTAGAATAGGTGAACTTGTACGTGGGCTGGAGAGGCATTATCCAATAAAATTCAAAGACTGAGTGTTCCTGCTGGTTCTGGAGATGTGCCCATTTACTGAAAGGTGGTAGAGGTAACGATTCTTTTGCTGTCCCTCCGTTTTCTTTAGTAGTCTGTTAAGTCTAATCAGGGAAAGAAAACAGCCAGTTTTGCAAATGAAGCCAAGTACAAGGTTTCTATTCTTTCCCAGACTACTTTGGGTAGGAGGGTGCTGGCCAGTTTCCAAGGCACCCTATGGGACACCCACCCTCCGTCCTAGCCTCAAACATTCTTTGACTGTTTCTTTAAGGAGTACTAACCGCAGGAACGGAAGGCTTTGCCACATGGATCTTCCAGTAACATTTCTTCAGTGTCCCAGGCATCTTTTCTCTTTTTTGGCCTACGAGCTGAGGTTATAGAAATGAAAATGAGTTTTGATTATGGATAAAGATTTAGGGGCAGTTTTTGACATCTATTCTATTTTCTACTAGATTCCTTCTTTCATCCTCACCCCTTATCCCAAGACCTGTACCCATTTTCTCCTTAGTGGCTTTGGCCAAGAGCATGTCCCACGGGTATGCATTACAACTTAGTCTGAGGTGGCATGATTATTGTCAGTTGCCAGTCAATATATGTCAAGAGGTGGAAAAGTTCCCATGTTAGTAAATGGAAGTCATCATTAACATCAAAATTTTTCTGTATAATATATGTATATATGTTTTTGTGTACATGTGTATGAGGAGGTCAGGGGTTGACTCTTCATGCTTTTTTTTTCTTTTTGAGACAGGGTTTCTCACTGAACCTAGATCTCACTGATGGACTAGGCTGGGTAGCCAATGTGTTCCAGATACTCCTTTCTCTACCTGTCACACCAGGCTAGAGTTACAAGTGTATGCCCACAAGCCCAGCTTTTACATTGGTGCAGGGGATCCAAACTCGGGTCTTCACACTGGCATGGAAGGCACATTCATCGCTGAGTCATCTCCTCAGTGCACCATCATTAGCAATATTAATGTCTCCATAGTGTGGATGCATCCTAATTTATTTAGTCATCCCTGTCATTGGTCATTTTTCATTGTTTCCAACATTTAGCTCTTGTACTGGATGTTATAATTGGAATACTTTTTAGTATTCTTTTGTGTACTTCAGTAATTATCTTTGTAGACAGATAAGAAATGTGACTATTAGTTTAAAGGGCTACCACATTTTTAAGTTCTTTCTAAAAGATTTATTTACTATGTATGAGTCTTTAGCCTGCGTGTATATCTGTGCACCACATTTATGCCTGTGAAAGCCAGAAAAAGGAATAGGATCCCCTGGGACTGGAGTTACAGATGATTGCGAGCCACCATGTGATTGCCAGGAGCCAGACCTGGGTCCTCTGCAAGAGGAACAAGTGATCTTAACCAGTGGGCCATCGCTCTAGCTCCATTTTCAAAGTTCTTAATATATTGAGAAAAGGAGAGGAAGAGAGAGACAGACAATATACCCTACATAAAGGTTATGCCAATCTGCCCTTCCACCATTGGCAAACATAACCTTGAAGTTATTGCTATAGCCATCCAAAGATCTTGTGTCAAGTAATGCAGGGGTACCATGCTGGCCTATCGGAAGATGATCTTCAAGCTTTGACCATACTTCTCTTAACAATAAACCAGAGTGTGAAAAGTGAGTTTCATTCTCAAAATAGGAATGCTGTTGTAGAAAATATAAAGGAAGGCCTATATAACTTTCTTCTATAGCCAATTACCTTTGAAAAGATTGTCGTCAATAGATGGAACTGGAGTCTGTGCATCATAACATTTAGTGTTGCAAGCCTTAGTGATACCTTGAGCTCCAATCTTCCGAGAACATTCACCTTCCTCTATGATGACGTCCAGAGCAAATGTTACTGACATATTCTTTTTGGGCCTCATTCGCAGACCATCTTTCTGTATGCCAAGAAGAGGGAAATTGCCAATTAGTTCTCAAGAGTTCATTTACTGACCATGGGCAATAGCGTTTCAAATGCCATTTACCTGTAGGATTGGCTTTAGGGGTCTAGCATCCAGTGAGCGCTGTATTAAATGTCTTGTTTCAAAATGCTGTCTTTTCTCAAAATGTCTTTGCTCAGCATGCTGTCTGTGCTCCAGGTGTTGTCTTTTCTCAAAATGCTGCCTGTTGTCTTTGAGCATTCCCATTCTGTTAGATAAGCTGAGTTTGAAAGAACAAATCAGTATCAGAAATAATACTTCCAGATTGTTCTTCTTTTGGTTCTGGGTACTCATTTCAGGGCCTTCCATGAGTGAGGTGAATGCTCTGCCTCTGAGCTGTCCTAAGCTTTTGTTATTCAATGCAGCTGCTATGCTATCATTTCCATAGGCCTTTGGTCAGTGACAGTGACAACAGAGCAAGAGGACGTTTAGGCCTTATGTCCTCAAAACCACCCTGATCATGCCCTGTTTTATCTTTTCAACATTTCTGTTATTCCCTACCATCCAGGATTAGGCAGATTAGACAGCTGGAGGCTGAGAATCTGGAGCAACTATGTAACATTCACCTTTAGAATATTGTCAGTAGACTCCTTAAGGGGTGCATGTTCCCTCTTCTGCGTGGCAAATCAGGGAACAGAAGCCCTATTTTGGAGAAACCCTAATACTGATAGCTTGGCCCTATGTTTATTTTTTAAACCTATATGCCACTCATGCCACTAAAATGACGCTAAAGCTGTTCCAGTACCGGTAGTGTACCTAGCAATGTTGATGGACACTGCCATAACCCCACTTGGGCCATCAGATTCTGAAGGACTTGCTGTCCAAAATTGAAGTACCTCTCAGAATTCATGGGTCATGTAGAAAATTGACTCACTTTTATTATCAGTAAATCTAATGAAAGCAGCTCAGTACCTGTCTGATGAGCATCTTTCTCCACAGCCTCTGATGTTCTTCGAGGTTGAGATGCTCATACTGGGTGTTTGTTGTCGAGTACACAGCTCATCATATTGATCCCCAATAACAGATAATAGCCAGCGTAGCCCTATAACTATTGGCTGTTGGTGCCTCTTTGGGAGGTTTTTCATGGTTGAACATGGCTCCTGCAAAAAAGAGAAAAGAAGGCCTCAAACCTGGATCCCTGGACCTTTGGGTTCTAAAGGCCCGATCACTGCCATTTAAATGGCAGAGGTAAATGTGCTGTGCCTGAATAGGTTCTCAACTTCCAAAGAGTCACTCAGCAGTCACATCTGGGAGAGTAGACGAAGAGCATAAAAGCTGAGGCCCTTTAATAAAACGACTATAGTGTCTTCATTGTGTAACCTCAAACAAGCCACTGAGACCTTCTGGCCATTTAGCTTTCTAACTTATAAAATGGGGATATTAAAATCTTACAGAACTGCTTTGAAGGCAGAGTGAAATATTTGTTGTCATTGTCAAGTTAGAAATAATCACGGCAGATGTTGCCTGTCAGGGAAGGGAACTTTGCCCCCAAGCCAGTATATGGGGCTGATGACAGACAGGGCCCTGGTTATATTATCCAGGGCTAGAGGAGGAGAAGGAAATGCTGACACTTACCACTCTGCACATGGACTTAGTCTCATTCACTATCCTTTCCAGAAGTAGATATTCAATGATATCACAAGGCAGGAGGGCATCCTTCTTGTCTTGTTTGTTTGCCAGTCTAGAGCAGGGTATATAAAAGAGCATAAAAGACAAGAAGGGTGAAACCAAGATAGAGTCAAAGGGAAGGGAAAGCCCGGCATGGTGGTATACCTCTATAGTCTCAGTACTTGGGAATTTAGGCCAGCCTGGCCTACACAGTGAGACTCTGTCTCCGAAAACAACAGAAAACAAAACATAAACAAACAAACAAAAGAAAGTATCTAGGGGAATACTAACTGTAGTATAACTGCTGCATGTCCAGGAATTGGGCTTAAATATAAAGCCAAGGAGATCCGCTAGAAACTTTCTAGCCAACTTTCAACCGAGGAAAAAATAGTGCAAATTATTTGAATCCAAGATAATTCCCAGAGCTCCTTTCCCACTTCCTCTGTATCACGTCTCAAACTTTAATTACAATCGCTATTTGGGATGTGACCAGGTGTGGAGTTTTACATCTCCAAAACTCTTTATACTCTAGTTGGGTTGCTAATGAGGAATGAGAATGGCAAAAAGGGGAGATGGGAGTGGTGAGGTATGGCAGGCTCCTGGAAGTATCTCCCTGAAATGAGGACCAGTTAAAGAAGTCTTGAGCAGCCAACTGAGAGAGAAAGGCATTGGAACCTTACATCATAAGAATAGGGTTTGCTGTCTGCCATAACCAAGCTTCAGGTCAGAGACTCAAACCATAAAAGAGCAAATTTATGAAAAGTCTTCAAGAAGAGGCCAGGGTTGGCATGGGAGCACTAGATAACATTTCTCATAATGAAGATTCGGGATTCGTTTGTACAGTTAGGTATCATGTCCGACATGACAGTGTGTAGCAGAAAGTGGCTCTTGAAAACAGTGACCACTGAACTAGACCTTTCTGCCTCATTAAGCCCAAAGAGATCTAGCTCCCTGTGACAAAAGGAGCGCCCAGCCCTTAATCTTGATACCTTTTCCAAGGCACAAATTGGTCAAGGGAAGTAGGATGCAAAGGTAGAAGCTTACATTAAGATGGGCTTCCCTGATACCCTTTTATCAAACATCAGGCGTGTTAAGACGATCTTCACTTCCTGTATTCGTGACATGTCACTAGAATCCACGACGAAAACAAGCCCGTGTGTCTCAGCATAGTAGTTTGGCCATTTTTCTCGGCCTTTTAGGTCTCCATTCAGGTCATAGACAGATACTTGATAATCATCCAGTAGAAGTGTAATCTGTGTTGGTTTCACTTGGCTGTGGTGTATCTTGCTAGGAATTACTGCGAACAGAAGGAGGGGGAAAAGCGACCACCATGTGGCAAAATGGAGTTAGATAGGACTGTTCATCCTCTTGCAGAGCCTGCTCTCAGAAACTCTACTGTAGTAGCCAGCTGCCCTGCTCAGGGTCATCATGCAACTTTCTAGATCTTTTTGTTGTCATTGCCCTAATTAGCCTGGGACTCACTCTGTAGACCAGGCCATCCTTGGCCTCAGAGAGCCATCCACCTCTGCCTCCCAAGTGCCGGAATTAGAGGTGTGCGCCACCATTGCCTGACAAAATGCATCCTTCTAAATCGCCGCTTTTTCTGTGCTGCCTTCCCTGACTTTATGACTTCAGTGAATAAATTGAATGGTGGCCACCTTGGACCTGGTTCCTACCCACGTCCCCTCACCCTATATGTCTCTCTTTTCCTGGGCCTTCACAAACTGCCATTCTTTTCACAATTCTGTGGTTGGCTCATGCCTGCTTTTATAAAATATCCATTCAGATCTTGTTTATTGTAGAAAAATTTCCCTCACACCAACCTTAGTCTGTATAAAGTGCTTTACCCCGGTCTTTAGCATTGTTATAACACATATTAGAGTCAAAACTTCTAGTGTTTACTTAACTGAGTTATAAACTGCAATAGGAAGGTGAACTCTTTTTGGATCCCTTATGTTCAGGAAGCTGAGCACAGGCGCTGGCACACAGGTGCTCAATAAATGTTTGATGAATGAATGCTAGTTCGTTTCTTTGTATTTCACATGCATTGGTGTTTTGCCTGCATGTAAGTCTGTATGAGGGTGTTGGATCTCCTAGTACTGGAGTTACAGACAGTTGTGAGATGCCATGCGGGTGCTGGGAATTGAACCCAGGTCCTCTGGAAGAACAACTAGTTCTCGTCGCCTCTGGGACATCCCTCTAGCCCTAGTTCTTCCTCATTTGCAGTTCCTTCAAGACCCAGCCACCACATTCTTCAGGAAGCCTTCTCTGACCTGCCAGCCTCTCACTGTCCCCTTTCAGCACATTGATGAAGTAGTCATTAACCTATTTTTGTGCTTGTCCATTGCCTTACAGTAGGGGTTCAGCAAGTGCTTACAATGTCTATTATTATGACATTGTAATAATAATGAGGACATGAAGTATCTCTTGTGTGTCTCTCCTAAGAAACCATGACAGATGTGGGCACATTTCCCATGTGAAAGCTTTGCCCAGAACATAATATCCTGTAAGGAACTAACCCCTGATAGAAATGTATTTTACAACATCAGTCTTTATATACTTGACACTTTGTTGAACTGATCATTATGGTCTAAGTTTCTGCTCACATTATTAGTTAATAACTTCATATGTTCTTAACACTAGGAGTACTCAGACTAGAATCAGTAATTTCTTATTTGTAGTAGTAGATATATCTGTAACATTTTTCATAGGGTTGCCAAAACAAATCCGTAGGCCAAATTACTAATCTTTCAGATTTTTGGAAATACTTGTTTATATGCACTTATGAATAGACACATATTTCTGCATGTGTTTATAATATGGCAACTATACTTCAACATGGTTTTATAACATTTCTTTTTTTCATGTTTTCTGCCTTTTAATTATAGCTTTCAGAAAGCATATACATTTTAGTCACTACTTTGATATGATACTTACTATCGAAATTACACTACTTGAAAACATATACATAGAATTATACAGACTTACCAAGTTGTACTTGTGTATTTAGGAATATATATTATATATATGATATATGCATATATGCATATACACACATATGTGTATATAATAGCAATAAATGAAAAAATAGGCCATGAATTTGAAAGAGAGCAAAGAAGGGTATACTGAAGGGTTTGGAGGAAAGAAAATGAGAGAGGGAATGATGTAATTATATTATAACCTCAAAAAATAACCAAAGTAAAAAGAAGAGTGAATAGGTTAAAACTCCAAAAGATAATTTTAAAATGTTATTTTCTGTGTCTCAGGGCATCTACTATTTTTTCCTGTCAGAATTTAGCCATTCCCCTGTTTTGTTTTCGTTTTTTTACTTAAAACTAATTTCTTCAATAGTTCAGTCTGTTTCTGATGACACTAGATACTAGACACTACAAGAAGTAGTTCCTTGTAAATTTGCATTTATCCTACTTTCTCTTAATTTATAAATACTCTGAGGGCAATTTGCAACACTCATTCATCTCTATATTCCTGGTTGAGTGTTTCATGAAATACGGTTTGGAAGTAGTGTGCTTCAGAGTTTCATGGATGTGCTTATTAATCCCTACCCTGGACCAAATAACTCAAATCTCAGGATCTCTAAGCTTGGGATGGAAGCATCCCTACCATTTGTAACAAAGTGGCTATGGGTAGCATGATCCTGATGTGATTCTTCCATACTTTAAAGCTTGCAAATCATTGTTCCTGAGAGCTATGAGACTTGGGTGTGGTTGTGTCTCAGCGTCACCTGCTAAGAATGAGGTGCACGGGCCCTCACTAAACTCAAACATGGGAGCTTCCTGATGCTGGGTTAAGAGCTGTCTGGGCTTCCCATGTGACTTTGATCACTGCTTCATTGTCCTCTAACTTTACCTTCCCAGACTTCCACAAACCTGTAGTGCTACTGTTCATTCTTTGAGATTTGGATTACGTAGCTCTTGGGTTGGGCTTGGACAAGTGGTTCATCAGTTAATAGCACTTGCCCCTCTTCTAGATGGACTTGGGTTCCTGTACCCTCACGGCAGCTCAAACCTGTCTGTGGTTTCAGTTCCAGACTATCTAATCCCCTCTTCAGGCCTTTGTGGGCACGGCATGCCATGTACATGGTACACATACATACATGTGGGTAAAACACACATACATATAAAGTAAATAAGTTTTTAAAGTATCCAGGTGATTGGAATGTATAGTCAGATTTGACAGTCATAGATCTCAGTGTTCTTATGTAGGGCATCTGTCTTCATTCATGCTCGACTTTCTTGTCTCATGTGACCATGCCATGCAAAACAATTTTAGTGAGTGGTGTCATCAATAATGATGACTTACATGCCAAACTGTTTTGTAGCTGGTATCTTTAATAGGTCATACAGGTTACTACTATCTGTAGACTGGAATTTCTTTCCTAGACAATTAGCTGTTTATGGCATTCATCTTTGGAAAACACAGGAACAGGAGATGTGAGCTATTCAATTTAGATACAGAGAAACCTTTAAGTGGGCCTGCAGGAACAGAGGTGACCCGAGACATTCTTCAGAATGTGACATCAGTGCCTATTCGAATATCTCTGTGAATGAAGTCACTACCATAAACCAATGCATTTATGAGGCAGCCCCAAGTTATTCACTGAGCACAAGGCAAGTTATGCAGCAACAAACTACATCCACTCTGCTCCAGGAGTCAGAATGGAAAACAGCCACTCGTCTCAGATGAATAGCTTGTGGCTAATTGCAGATGAGTGCTTGGCACAGTTGAGCGGCTATGAGAAACACCTCGGGAGTTCTCACGTTGTGGGTTCCCAGGCCCCACCCAGACCAAATGGGAATCCAGGGCTGAGGCAGCTGGAGCTCTAGTAAACTATCCCCATTCTTGTCAGTAATCTTGTGACTTGTCCTGCCTGGTTCTTTGACTTTCCTGTCCTGTCTGCCTCTCAGTATTGGGAGAGGCAAGGAGTCAAGTGTACTGCATACAAGAGGGTTATGTGAGGCTGAAGTGTTGGTTAAAATGCACTTGGAAGTTCTGTTGGGGTTGAGGGAGAAGTTCTGGAAAGGCAACATGTAGTCTTGGGGGAATGGTGGTGAACTTTCATTCCAGGAGTAATAATTGAAGATATCGACACCATAGACTCAGATAGAGAAAGAGTCATTTCTTCTCCCGGAGTTCCTGAGTTAGGGGTGGATTTGAAATTGTGCAAGGATCTTGGGATATGTGCATGCTAGAGGGTGTGAGCAAGGACTATGGTGCAGGGGATAAAGGAGGGCTTTCTTGTGGCCAGGTTATGGATTGAGGGGCTTGGTTAAGTAGATGACAGAGGAGTTAATGCAGGAAATGAAGCCTTGTGAAGCACAGTGGTGTGGCAGAGGACTGGCAAAGCATTTACTTCCGTTGTATCAGAGTACTATGTGTGAAGAATTTGGAAATGAAGTTGGAGGAGAAGTCAGAGGCACAAACAGTAGGACAACATAGAGCAATACTGAGCAGGGGGGTGTCATGATTAGATTTGTGCATCTAATCATGACAAGTACTAATAACCAGATCAATCAGAGTTCACTATTGTTGAAGGAAACTGAAAAAACTCCAAGTAGACCATGGGCGCAGGTGTCAGGGTAACCCTTTCTTATACTTTGCTGAGGGTTGCCAGGTTATATAAAACTCAACCATGTCATCACACTCCTATATTAATTCAATAAACATTGATGGTGGGCCAGACTCTGTGTTGACCATGGATTGATTAACGGGTAGTTGGGGGCCTCACAACAATTATAGCAGCTTCCTTCAATGCTATGTGACTGCTTCTGGAAATGTCCAGGGACTGGGGATGTACTATATTTGAAGGGACATTTCTCAAGCTCTAACTTTCAGTATCTACTGTCACGGAGGTTTGTGTTACTACATTTCTTTCTTACTCTACCCATGTCTCTTTTCTAGACCAAATTACACACGAATTAAGCTCTGAAACTAGACAGCATTTCAAACACACTATGCTTCAAAATTGACTACAATGTTTTACATAGCTTAAGCTCATTCATATTGACATCATGTGAGGACTTTCAATGAGGATATCTTATAAAGGGAGCAGGTGAAAGACAGTGTATAAACAGCTTATTAATACCTAATGAGGAGACTGAGATATTTATCTTTAGAAGAGAGAAACTGAGGGTCAGGAAGTAAGGCTAAGGTGAAATGAATATTTCCAGAAGACCCACACCAGAAACTAATGGTCTTAGTTCTCACATCTTTGAAAGGCCTCCATAAGATGACTTTTGCCTGAGTTTTCCAAGCCAATGACAATGATAGTTACATTCCTGGAAGAGGAAAAGGAAAATTAGTGAAAACAATGAACCTCTTAATGTTTAGACTAAAGAATGCTATTTGTTCTCAGTGTTTGAAACTTTGCTTGCAACTCATGTGTCATAAAAAGCCCTATGACAGTAGCAGGAGTGGTGTGGCAACCCCTCCCACATCCTCCAAAGATGCTTTCCCTCCATGACACCTGTTTATAGGATGGTCATCCTCTCTCAACTCTGCTCCCACTCTTGTACTTGCTGTCTAATTATTTCCCAAATGTGTCATGGTCATTTTTCCCTTGTAAGACTTTAGGCAGACACTTGAGAAATAATTCCAAATTGGGTGTAGAAAAGTAGCTGTAAAGTTACCTTTGTTTTACTTCTGTGACCTTTTGACGAGACCAGCAGGCAGTCAAAAGTCGGAACATGCTTCAGCTTGATTCTTAAGTATTAAGGGACAAAAAGAAATGACAAATCACATCAATTTTGAATGCCATCAGTTTTTCATTAGGCAGATGCTGATAAACAGAAAGTCTGTGACTGTTAGAATTTCACCGCATCATTCAGCCCACCCTAACTTTTAAATGCCATAGAGGAGAGGCTGGCTATCCTGAGACCCAATGACAGCTTTGTGATAATATGTAGCTTCATCCAAAATAGAGTGACTTGTCACTAAAGCAACCCAACTCACAGACACAATCAGATGAACTCTATCCCTTTAGCTATATAGGTTGTTCCTACTAGGAATATCTTTTTGCATTCTAGAGGAACCAGCTTAGTATGAAGAACCATTGGAAGGCCTGTTTTAAGTAACTTCTCTATTGGGTTTGGCTCTTTTGTTGCCTCAGCTTCAAAAGTAGAGGTGTTGGTGACCCATTTTTCATAGTTTTATCCATTTCCTAGGATCTGTAAGGGACCTCAGACATCACCTATAGTAGACTAATAGATATTAAACAGCAATCCAGGTGCCCCACTGTCAAAAATTGCAAGGGAGTTAAATATGTTTCTCAGTTGAGTTTAATGTGCATCCTGGTTTGGAAGTGGTTGCCTAAATCAAAGATAATTTAGGCAGTTGCTTTGAGGTTCCATGTTGTAGCTTGTATGAATACTTAAGTTTTTTGAGATAGATCTTACTTCATAGCTCTGGCTGGCTTGGTACTTGCTACATAGACCAGGATAGCCTTGAACTCACAGAGATCAGCCTGCCTCTGCCTTCCTTATGCTTAGATTAAAGGCATGTGCCACTACTCCTGACTTCGTTCCTTTTTATGACATCATATTTTATTCATTCACTCATTCACTAATGGATAGTTGGATTGATATTTAGGCTCAGAGATAACGCTGGCTATAAACATGTGTGTAAATGTGGGTATGTGTTCATTTCTTTTGGGTATATTCCTAGGAGTAATTTCTGTGCTATATACTGCATCTGTGTTGAAGCATTCAAAGAACTGCCGGATTGTTTTGTAAAGTGGTCATAACATTTCACACTGACACCAGGAAATGCTAGAGAGTTCTGTTTCCTCCACACATGGAACAAAACGTATTGCTGTCCTGGTGTTCATAGCTATTCTAGTAAGCATGAAATGAGATCTCATTATGATTTTGACTTACATTTCTCTAATAGTTTACTTTGTTGATATCAGCATTGTAGGAAGAGCCAATGGGGTTAAGGAAAGATGTCGTATGGGCCTTGCCACAATGTTTGTTGAGCAGTTTGCATGCCAGTTATTAGTGAATGAAACGGTTAGCATTGTTCTGCACAGTCATCCAGTCATCCATCCCCTGTTTTGGAGCGTTGTTATTTTCAGAGACTCACATCTTATAGCTTGTGTTAGAGTACAGTTCACTGTTTAGGAAATTGGCTTCCCTAAAGATCTACTGGAGAATGGCTTTGCATCAGACAAAAAGAAGTCATATATATGGCCTGTGAGCGGAAACCAACCTTCCTCTAGTCTTGCTCATGAATCCAGAAAGACATGGAGCCTGAAAGGACAGAGCCTAGTTGTCTTGATTCCATGATAGCTATTTCCCTTTGAGACAAGGTGGGTAATATCTCCAGGTCAAATTCTCTTTTAGTGCATTTATTAGTGCATATTAATTGTACAAAATAATGAGTTTAATCAGTATACTTTAGAATATGTAAATAATGTACTTTAAATTATACTCAGGCACCATGACACTTTCATCTCTTCCCCTCATCATTAATATCCCTTCTACTTTCGTGTAATAAAAGCATCTGGATGCCATTCATGTATCTTAATCATTTGCAGCGCTTCTTAGCTCCATCTTAGTCTGCGTTTGTTCAAATTGATACCACACAAGTTCTTCCTTTCAGAGATGAGAAGGGTAGGTGGGATGACCAGAATTCAAACCTAGGCAGCATGGCTTCAAAGTATTGAATTGAACAGGCAGTGTGTGAGAGACGCCAGCCATCAGATGATTGTGGACGCTGTTATGCCCAGTGCCACTACTAGATAGCCTGGAGTGAAATCACCTGAAGTTGAGCCTATAAGCTCCCAGAAAGTGAAGATAGCTATGTATTTGGCTTACCTTGAGGTGGTTAATTATTTCTCTGATAACAAGTTGAGTTTGGGACTGAAAAATGTTAGCTGTGTTGAGTTTCAGAATGATTTGTTGAGAATTTTAGCCTTCTGGATAGATTAACACAGCCCAGCTGTCCACTTAAAGGGTAGGCAATGTTCTAACAATGGTTTGTCAAGGTTCTAGCATATCTATGGTAACCACTTCCTAGTTCTTGGCAACCAAATATATCCCCTTTCCTTGTGTGATTACAGATAATTGCTAAATGAATTTTTATTTGTTACAGATTTTATTTCTTTTTTAAAGTACATATAGCATTCACTGGTCTTATTTAAGTGCTGCATTCATATTAACTCTTTTAATCCTTATAGCAACATGACAAAAAAGGACTGCCACTCTTACTGTTAAGAGATGAGGCTCACAGAGAGCTTAGGTAGATTGGCAAAGGCTTTCCAGCCAGTGGTAAGGCTAAAACAAACCTAGGCAGTGTGCCTTCAGACTCTGGGTATTAATTAGGTTAGGTATTAGGTTTGGTATTGCAGACTGTGTGAGATGCAAGGTTCTAGAGAGGCTGCCTCTGCTCTGGGTCTCTGTATTTCTTCTGTACATACATTTCCATATTTAATCTTCTTTGGTGTGCTGGATACTTTTTAAAAATGATTTATTTAATTTTATGTACATTGGTGTGAGGGTTTCAGTTCTCCTGGAATTGGAATTACAGATAGTTGTGTTCTGCTTTATGGGTGATGAGAATTGAACCCAAGGCCTCTGGAAGATCAGCCTGTGCTCTTAACCACTGAACCATCTCTCCAGCCCTGTGCTGGATAGTTTTATATCAGTTTGACACAAACTAGAGTCATCTGAAAGGAGGGACCTTCAATTGAGAAAATGCCTCCATAAGATCCAATTGTAGGACATTTTCTTAGTTAGTTGTTGATGTGAATGGACCCAGTCCACTGTGGGTGGGTCCATCCCTGGGCTGGTGGTCCTGGGTTCTATAAGGAAACAGGCTGAGCAAGTCATGAGCATCAAGCCAGTAAGAAGCACTCCTCTATGGCCTCTGCATCACCTCCTGCCTTGAAGTTCCTGCCCCGTTTGAGATCCTATTCTGACTTTCTTCAATGATGAATGATCACTGATGTGGAAATATAGGCCAAATAAAGCCTTTCCTCCTCAAGTTGTTTTGTTCATGTTGTTTGATCACCCCTGAGAGCTAGGGGTCTATTGCTTGGTGGTTTTGAACTAAAGATTTATGGTTCTAGCCACTTAGGCTTGAGGCTGTGATGGTTTGAATAAGAAATATCCTTGACAGTACCACAGCTAGACACCACAAGCTAGCAAATAACAACCCCCAGTACTAGGAATGGGTGGGTTACTTCTTTTTGAGTTGTTGGTCCTTGTGGTCCCATAGATCTCCACATATTACAGGCTATTGCAAGAACTCTATAATTTGATCATAAGACTCTTTTGCTGGGACTGGAGAGATGGCTCAATGGTTAAAGTCACTTGCTGTTCTTATGGAGGACCTAGGTTTAGCCCCAAGTATTAACTTGGTGACTCACAATCATTTGTAACTGCAGTTCCAGGTGATCTAACACCGTCTTCTGGCCTCCCTGGGTAGCAGGCCTATATATGCAAGCAAAACACTTATAAAAAAATCTTTAATAGTAAAGATGCCACATACGTGAGTGATAAAATATGGAGAAATCAAGCTGCTCTGGAAACTTCATCCTTACTAGATAGCTTTCATAATACTTGAAGATGCTATGTATGCTACTGGAGGAGAAAAGTAATCATCAGTCTTATATAGCTGCAAACCCTATGAACAATGATGACTGTTCTGGCAAGATCTATCTACTGGTACAATAATGGTGCAAATATTATGGGAGTATCCAATCACTCTCTGATTGGATTTCAGGTCCAGGCCCAGGAGATGGGACCTATACTTGGCACCATTATCAGGGCCAAGAACCTTTTCTAGATGGGCCACAGGCTCTATGGAAGAACCAACTATCATTAGTTTGTTAAAAGGGCATAGTATGAAAGCAACTCTTAGTGGCCTTCATCAAAGAATATTCTTCTTACAGAAGACGGTAGTTAATACAGAAAACCACAAACTGGTCAACTCGAAGAGAACAAGAAACTGCAGAGCGCTCAGCTCTAAATGTGACATCTGTAACATACTCCTCCCTCCAAGACCCAGCAATACTCATGGAAGAGTGTGTGGAAAGATTGTAAGAGCCAGAGGCAGTAAATGACTACAGGGAAACAACCTTTACCGAACACCACAGGGAAGTTGCATGTACAAACTCACAGCCATTTTGACAGCATGCACTGATCTGTGCTATCTCAAGTCAGACAAAATCCCAGCATGGAGTGGAAGAGTTTGTTTACTGCCAGAAGAATCTTCTGATAACCAAAATAGATTCTACTAAATTATCAAGGTATAGATTTAAAATAATTTAAAGAAATAGCCCCCTAGTAACTCATGTATTTTCAACAGTTGCTCGCATTGTTTGGGGAGGTTATGGAACCTTTAGAGGTGGAGACTTCCTGGGAGGGGAGTATTTCCTGGGGATAGGCTTTGAAGGCTTATAGCCACATCCACCTACCGTTCTCTCTCTGCTTTGTATGTGTGGAAGAATATGCGGTCTCTCTGCTTTCTGCTCCTGCTGTCATGCTGTTCCCTGCTATTATGCAGTCTTTCCCTCAGGAACCATTAGCTAAAGCAAACCCTTTCTTCTTTAAGTTGCTTTTAGTTGTGGTATTTTATCACAGCAACAGAAAATTGATACAGGAAGTTATTGCTCTGGGCTTTCGATACCAGTGGACCTGGAAAATAGCAGCTATTGTAATCATTTGATTGTAGCAGCAGTTGGTGGCATCAGACCGTAGCAAGCGCGGCAGCAACAGCTGGCACTTTTATGTTATAGCTTTTATACAGGCTTCAGGTGCTGGGCTCCTCAGTCTTACGGTGACAAGTGTTACAGCTATTAGACCTAGAGTGTCAGGGTCTCCAAGCCATTGACAGCTTCAAGTTTTACGGCTCTCCATAGCTCTCATCTTCTCTATCGCTTCCATTCCCCATTACCGATACTGTGGCCATGCTCGGCAGCTCTTCATCTGCCATGTAGTTTCTACCACTCCTCTGTTGGCTGCTGCTAGCAGGGCATTGGCTTTTGCCACCTTCACTGCTGGCGCTGCCTTCCTTACTTTGTGTTATCAGCACAGCTAGTTTATTAATGATAAAGGTCAAAAGGGGATCTACAAGACGTCTTTTAATTTGGTCTAAATGCTGCAACACAGCATAAGAGGGTGTCTCCCAGATAGGTCATGAAGTGAACCAAACAGCTTTTTTATACAGTCAGAAATGGGCGTGACTGTAACAAAGATTCTATACCCAATAATAGCAGCTCCTCATTCAAATGAAGGTATGTGCATGTACCAATCATAACATGGTCCCTCAAGCAAATGAGAGATAGCATTTGCACTAATCAAAGCAGTTCCTGATGCAAATGAAGGCTTTTATTTGCACAGATCATGGCATAGTTCCTTGCATTCCTTCCATGCAAATGAGGGAACACTCTTGCAGCAATCACAGTAGTCATCCAAATAAAGATCTGTGTCTGTCCTATCATGGCAGGGTCTTTCATGAGAATGGAGGATCGAATTTATATCCATCACAATAGTCCCTGCTATACATGAAGTTGTTTACATGAATCATGGAACAGTTCCATATGTGTATAAGTCACAGTGCCTTATGTAAATGAAGGCCTTTATCATACCAATCATGGTATCCCATGCAAATGGAGAATTCAGTTTGTCCCAATCGTGGCATATATTTCCTTGATATCAGAAAATGTTGAACAGGGCTGGGTGTAGTGTTGTATGCCTTTAATCCCAGCACATGGGAGGCAGAAGAAGGCAAATCCATGAATTTGAGGGCAACCTGGTCTACATAGTGAGAGCCAAGAAAGCCAGGGCAAGAATTGTATATGAGACCCTGTCTCAAAAACTTGTTGAACATTTTTATATATTTATTGGTCATTTGTACTTCTTTTGAGAACTGTCTATTTCGTTCATTTGCCTATTATTTGTTATTTTGGTGGGTAATAATTTTTAGTTCTTTATTCCGAATATTTATTCCCTCAGATGAATACAAATTGGTAATACAGAATGAATTATGAAGTTAAAATAAATATGAAATAAAGGGACAGGGGAAGAGAAAAAAGAAAGAAGCAAGGCCAAGATAGAGAAGGTCTGTAAGACGGCTTGGTGGGTAATGTACCTGCTGCCAAGCCTGAGAACCTAAGTTCAAGCCCCAGAACCCACGTGGTAGAAGGAGAGAACCTACTGTGGCATGCTTTTGTCCCCCTACCCTCCTCCCAAAATGTAATTTAAAAGAAGAAACTGGAAGAGGGGGAGAAGGAATTATGGGAGACAGACGTGTTGAGGAGGACACTGGGAGAACACTGCCCATAGAACCAATAGGCAGGGCTCATAGGGGCTCATAGAGACTAAAGCTGCAATCATGGAACCTGCATGGGACTCTGCTAGGTCCTGTGCATATATGTTGTGGTTGTTTAACTTGGGGGTTTGTGGGACTCCTGACATTGGGAGTGGGGGTATCTCTAACTCTTTTTTTCTGCTCTTGGGACCATTTTCCTCCTACTAGGTTTCCTGGCTCATCTATGACGTAAGGGTTTGTGTCTGGTCTCATTGTATCTTTTTGTGCCATGTTTGTTGATGTCCTTGGGAGGCCTGATCTTTTCTGAAGTGAAATGGAGGAGCAGTGGATCTGGGAAAGAGGGAAGGAGGAACTGAGAGGAGTGGAGGGAGGGGTTGCTGCTGTCAGCATGTAGTGCATGAGAGAAGAAGACATGAGAAGAAAAGAAGAAAAATAGCATGAGGAAGAGGGAAACATGAAAAATTGTTTAAAAGTCCACTTAGAAAATAAGGATAAGTATGTGAATAAACCAGATAGATGTAAGAAGAGTGATAAAAATAAAAATTGAGAAAAATTCAACTTGTGGAGGATTTATTTTGTCTCACAGATTCAGGAAATTCGGTCTGTCATGATGAGAAAAGCATCAGTGCCTTGCGTCGTATTGGCAGACAGAAACAGATGGTGATAAATAGGGATG